TGTATATCCTTGTTGAGTTTGTGTAAGCTTGCCCTTGCATAGGCTTCCCAGGGTGCTGTCAGGCGATCATTGGACTGCTAACTGCAGGGTCAGTGATCCAGCCAGAGTGAATTTTTCTCCCAATGATTCCCTTCTTAAACATGCTCACCCCTGAAAAACCAGCCCACCCACCTGCAACAGCTTGAGTATCTATTGTGTGCAAGGCACCTGTGAGACCCAAACAGATCACGGGACACATGGAGGTGCTTTGTATATCCTTGTTGAGTTTGTGTAAGCTTGCCCTTGCATAGGCTTCCCAGGGTGCTGTCAGGCGATCATTGGACTGCTAACCGCAGGGTCAGTGGTTCAAACCCACCAGCCACTCTGAGGAAGAAAATGAGGTTGTCTGCTCCCATAAGATTCAAAGCCTCAGAAACCCTATCTCGAGTTGCTATCAACTTGATGGAATCAACAAGTTGGACTCCATTTGGTGGCAGTGGGTCCGGGTTTTGCCCTGCCTTCAGGGCCTCATGGTATGAGGGCTGGGCCCTAAGGATAGTGGTGACGACTTCTGGCTTATCAGCTTCCACTTAGACTAGTCCCTCCTTGCAGGACAGGAGACCAGCCTCCCTCAGACCCCTCGCTCTCTGCCCATCTTGCTGCTGGAATCGTCTTTATTCCCATTTACGTCTTAACTTCCAGACCCAGCTTGTGGTTTTTAAAAAAGCATGCTTCTCTGGGAAGTGCATCCAGGACAGTGGCTTCCCACTTTGTGATGGTGAGAAGCAGTGTTCCTAAGAAGGAAAGGAGACGTCACGTCCCTGCATTCTGCTGAAAGGAGCAGCTGCAGCGCAGCCCACGCTGGGAACCCGAGAGGATGGCACCGAGAGGGACAGACGCTGGCGTGAGGGCACCACCTGCCAGTTCTGGAGCCGTGGACGGCCACTTCACCTTGCTGCGCTCCAGTTTTCCCAGTTGTGAATGAGGATAGCGGTGCCAGCCTCACCAGGTTGTGGCGAGGCTTCAGTGAGTTACACTTACGAAGGACTAGAACAGGGCCTGGCACACAGTAAGCCCTCACAGCCCCTTGAGTGAGTTTGGGTTTTAGTGACCTCCACTGTGAAGGGCCAGGGAATTGGAGAGACCTCTCTCCTTCCAATCCAGACACTCACTTTGAACCATGGCTCCCAACCCTCAACCCTGGGCCATGTGTTCAGCTATTGGATCCACATGGGCAAGTCCTGTCTGGCAGCAGTGTCTTTCTTCCTGAAAGTATTTGTATCTGTTTAAGGGCTCTTTAAGAAAACGTTTTATTGTGAATTGGGTGAAGGTTTACAGAGCAGATCAGTTTTCCATTTAACGACTGTAATCGGCACAATGTATTATCACGTCTCCCTGTGGTTCCTGTGGCCATTCCCTCTTTCTTTCCTAACCCATCTGAACTTTGTCCTGGTGTACATGTTTGACTTGAATAGTTGATTATCCTAAGATATGTGCACCTCCGTGGAATGAGTGTGCTCTTGTCTGTTGTTTGGCCTAGAATTTAGCCATGAAGTAAGTTCAGTTGCAGACCAGTTCTGGGACCCATGAGAGACCATGGCCTTGGGAAGCCTACCACCAGGCTCTCTCCAACCAGGAAACCTGGTCTTTTTTTTTTTTTTTTT